GCCTTTCCATTTGCCAGGGAAGTGCTTATTCCATTGAGCCATCTCCCCAGCCCCCAGAATTCAGTATGAAACAAATCCCAAGAAGGCTTCCTCCACATCCCTGGTACAATACCCCAGAAGGAGAGTATTCTATTTATTTTTAGAATTTATCAGAAATGACACATGGAATATACACAGCTTAGATACATGCATATATTTAATAATGAAACAATTCATTAACAACAAAAATTAGAAAAATTCAGAGACCTCAGTGCTGTGGAAGAGGAGACATTAAGCAAAAAGCAACTGACCCAGAAGGCTGTATGATGTGTGAAGTGAAGGCAATGTGGCTAAGACAGTATTATATACTCAAAAATGGAGGACTGCAAAAATACCCACTTTTCTGGCTGCCTGGTAGCAGGCAGCCTTACTGCCTACTGCATAGAATGGAGGCAGTGAGCTAGAGAAAGGCAAGACAGAAGAGCCAGACAGACCTAGGGCAATCTGATGGAAGAGATGGTAGAACTATGAGGAGATCACTTTAAGGCCTTCTGCTCTCTCCAAAATCTAAAATCTGAAGTTTTTAAGTATGTCAGTCAAACTTAATGATCACATAATGGGTGGTACTAGGCACTGTGACTGGCCAGTGGGGGAAGTAGGTTTATAAAAATAAAGGAATAACATGGACCCTGCTCTCATAGAGCTTACAGCCTAAATAAGGAGATCCCAGACATGAAACTACAAAACATATTTACAAAGTTACATACATACAAATAAATATCCATCTGAATAACATAGGAAAGCTAATGGGTAATGTGGCAATAATCACTTGAAGTCCTTAGGTGAGTCATGGAAGCCTTCCTAAAGGAAAAAAATGTTCTTTTGATTATAATGTCACAATGTCTCTCTTCATAGTACAGAATATACAAAGGTATATAATGAAGAATGAATATGGCATGTATAATAAGCAAATTAGCTTGATTAGGGTAGAAAGTTCAAATAGGTCTAGTTAAGAAGTGTGAGGTCAATTTGGTGAAAGATACTGCAATGTTTGACTTGGTCCCTAAAATAAATGAACAGGGAATGACATGTGTTTTCGGCAAGAATAAACAGCCAAGGGTCTAGGACCAATTCCACAGCTCTCAGAGTCTGGCAGTTAACTCTAAGAGACAGACACTCACAATGGGTCAGGAGAGTACTCAGCTTCCTCGGGCCAGTCGAAGGAACTGCCGTGTATAAGAGCTCTGATGAAGTGGCAGTAGCCTCTTGAAGGCAACGAAGTTTAAAAGAAAACATGAGATTCCTAAGCAGAGGATCATGTTCAAATGGGAAGCCAGAGCCAGGAATCTCTACTGTTCGAGCAGAACACCCTTGCTACTACTTACCCTTCCTCCTAGCGGGAGCAGAATGTGTATGCTTATGAAGTTATTTTGAATTACCATGGCAATCAACTTTGAGCCTAACATTTTATAAATTAAAATGATGAAAACATCCCTAGTCTATAGGGAATGCTCACGTCCCTGAAGAAGGACAGGTGGGGATGGGCCCCGGTTCTCCCCTGGTCTTTAAGTGGAAAAGGCAAACATCACACCTTAAAAAGAGGCTGTACTCAGCCAAAGCAAGTAAGACTCTTTTTTAAAACCTATTGAGCAAAAGCTGTTCCAGGAATGGGGGAAAAAAAGTTTGGATCAGATGTTCAGCAGCAGCCAGAGTCAGACCCTGTGTCCCGAATGTTCCGCTGGCAGGCACCAGGTCCGGCTGATGTCGAAATTGACTGCTGGGGCCCAATCTTGATACCATTTGCCTGTAAAATAAAAAAAAGTGATGGTTCTCACTTCAGGGATAAAGTGAATAGAGGAAAGGAAGCGATAAAGGAGACATTATTTGTTATGTTTAGGGGCTGGGAATAAACATAAGACATTAGATGGCTCAGTGGAATAAGCACTTTCCTGGCAAGTGTAAGGGCCTGAGTTCAATCCCCGGC